GATTTTTTTCAAAGTTGATTTAATCCCGGCACTTCATAAAATGTGTGTAAAGCAAGATTTTATTTGTGTTCAAGAGAAATCTCTGAAAGAGTGGAATAAAACCAAATGCATGGAAACAAGCTCCAATCTGGCAACGGGAAAACACAGATGCACAGGTTAAGTGCAAGATTTAGGAGATGTGCCCCACCCCCCGTCCCTAAATAAGTTTCTAATCAAATGCCAGAATGAAACATTGAAACCTGCCAAAATGTCCTACTTGGCTGCCTTCACTCTTGAAATCATTCCTTTCTATTGCATCTGACTAGGCAGAGAACAATAATGGAAATGCCTACCAACTGATGTTTCTGGCAATTTTGTGAATTATCACATAAAATGAAATGCTGAACTACATTCCTTTCTCCCTGGGGTTTATCTTCACACTCCTATTCATGCTTGGCATCCCCTCTGCTTGGTGTGACCACAGTCCCAAAACTGAGCTGCTAAAGATTAGACTGTGATATGCCAATCATTTTGCATTTTAAAAAGACTAAATAACCTATTTAAGAAAACCATTTAGGTTTGTATAATTCTTTCCTTTTTCTTTTCCTTTTCTTCAGTAAGCTCGATGTGACTAGCTTCGATTAGGATCATACAATAAGCAGGGAAAGAACACACTTCAGAGATCCCCCATAGAATTTTGTTGGTGGCCCTCAGGCTGCAGATTTTACTGGCTTTCTGGGAGGAAGTGTGCTAGGTGCGATGAGATGACTAAGACAGAAACTGGAGAACATCTCAGGTTCAGTGATCAGAGTTATCAGATTGCAAATGTTTAGGAGGCATAATGTGTTCTGATGAAATTTCCAAGACTGCTCACTAAAAAAAGGGTGGGGGGGAATCTAGAAAATTTCTTAGTGCCAAATTAAAAACAGTAAATATTGCCGAAACCGGTTTGGCTCAGTGGATAGAGTGTCAGCCTGCGGATTGAAAGGTCCCAAGTTCGATTGCGGTCAAGGGCATGTACCTGGGTTGTGGGCACATCCCCAGTGGGAGATGTGCAGGAGGCAGCTGATCTATGTTTCTCTCTCATCAATATTTCTAACTCTCTATCCCTCTCCCTTCCTCTCTGTAAAAAATCAATAAAATATATTTTAAAAAAACAGTAAATATTAAGTATAACTTGATTAAGGAGGATTTGTACATCATTAAGGAAAAACTGGAGGGGGTGTATCAAAAGTATAGCAAACTAGGGAAAGTAAAAGAAATTAGGTCAGAATTGTTGATCTGTTCCACAGGCATTTCTCAAGCAGCTATTATATACCTGTCTCCGTGTTATATGTTGATAGTATAAAGATGAGTTAGTCTTCATCCTTTATCTTATAAAGTTAATCTTGGAACATGAAAATGTAAAGAGATTAGTTCTTTTAGATACTGGTGAAAATGCTTCCAAATTGGGATAGTTGCTTTCTTTCTCCTCGTGGGCTACTTTTTGTTTTGAAACCAGAGAACCTATGGATCTGGGCTGCCAGTCACAACTTGAGCCAATTAAGCAGAGACAGGGTTGAATCATATATGAACATTTATTCCCATAATGCCAGCAGTATGGGAGAGCAGCAGGTCACCCACGAAAATCTGCTCTGCACCCCACCCCCCATAAGCCAGATGCTTATATGGGATACAGACATAGATTACGTGGGGAAGTGGGCAAAAGGAATAAGAATGGGTATAATGGTTACAGATTATAGGCAATGTGGGCAATGTGGGCTGGGGGTTTGCAAAGGGCAGGGGTCATCGGGGACTCCATTGTTGCCTTTCCACAACAAGATTGGATATTAATCTTTCTATGAAGATAGGCAGCTCCCAGATGGGGAGGATGGGCTGCATTTCCAGGTGAGCTCCCAGGTCCGGTGTATAATCCCCAGCCAGGTGTGAATGTGCTTCCTTTAATCAGAACAAAACAATCATGGTTAACAGAGCATGATTAATATTTCTTGTTAGTATTTCTTATAACTAATAGCTAGTCCCCAATATTCTAATTCTACCCCTAACAGTTTCACATGACAGAGTCAAGCTTCCAAAAGCATGAAAGGCATTGGTTAGAGGTGAACTTTTCACGTAACACATGGGCCACTGAAAAATCCAGACACCTGTGTCCCCCTCCACTGCCCTTCCTTGCCAGTCTGGTCACCCCCAACGGCCCTCCCCTGCAGGCCTGGTCCCCCCCAACTGCCCTCCCCTGCAGGCCCAATTGCCCCTAACTGCCCTCCCCTGCTGGCCTGATTGCCCACAACTGCCCTCCCCTGCCAGCCATCTTGTAGCAGCCATTTTGTGATGACATGGGGACAGCCATCTTGTGATGGCATGGGGCAACCATCTTGTGACCACGTGAGGCGGCCATCTTGTGATGACATGGCGTGGCCATCTTGTGCAAGGGCATAACAGTCAATTTGCATATTACCTCTTTATATACAGAATACTGTTCTGTATCTCATTAACTAACTCTTGATATCTGCATAGTTTCCTTTTAAAAGAAGCCAGTGTGTCCATACCAGCATTCTCCGCCCATCATTCATACACCCACTAAATGATTGTACTTTCTAATACTGTACAGTACTGTACATAACAGACAGGTCCTGGTATTGTTACAGATTTTACCAACCCATTCATTAATCCTCCAGAATCCTCTGAGAAATATAGCTAAACCATAACTAACCAATGTTTTCCTCACAGTAATTCTTCCAAGAAAGGAAAGCTTGCTTTAAAAAATAATGGAGGGTTATTTCAGGATACGACACTGGAAGATGATAGAAAAAATAATTATGAATTCCAAGAAAAAAGTAAACAGCTCTAAGAGGAAATATAATTACAGTACACTACTTGACTCTTTTTTGGGGAAAATGTAAGCAGCACAAGAAGATAGAGTCATAACAAAGTAACTGCATTAGGGAATGGAGAAAGGAAGTGAGTTAGTGTGAAAGAACTAAATTCTCATCTATTGTACAATACAGCAAATAGATGATATCAAAATTATTAAATTGAGAAACAGAAGTTCAGAAAAAGAGAGATATTTAAAATAAAAGAGAATTACAAATCCAGTGCATGATCTTAGATTGACAAACCAACTACAAAGGCTATTTTAAAGGTAACTGGGGAAATTTAAATATGTACTAACTTTTATATGATAATAGAAATTGTCATTTTTCTTAGATGTGATAATATTTAGCTATGCATAATAAAGAATATCATGATAACTTTAATATATTTTAAATACATAATCATTTTTAAATACTTTAAAAAGGAACACATCAACATTTTAAAAACAGGCTTTTCTATTTGATTTTGAACATCACCTTGATTTCAAAATGTGTTTAAGTAATTTTGACAATATATCTCTGGATTAGTACACAGCCACCGCTATATCCTATAGTTGAAGCTAGTTTTTTCTAAGATGACTCTTGCTTTGCACGATTCTGAAATTTCACAAAACAGATTTAATTACTTTCAGTGCACTTTACTTAATTAGGCAAGAATTCAGACAAACAGATTTTAGAAAGGTTTTTCATTATCAGATAAAAACTAAGAGACTGTGAACTAGGAAATTAAATTAACTAAATATTCTCTGAGTATTCCAATTGGTTAATAGGCATGGTTGTTAAGCCTTGTTCAAACTAAAAATTCACATCCTAACTAACTGTTATGGGTTGATGGTTAAGAGCAGAGCAAATGTGTGGCAAATACCAAGGGGATTCCTATGTCAGTAAGATTCTCAGGGTAGAGAGGACACTGGGAATGTGACCTACTTTAAAAATCAACAAAATAATCTTTTATGTTAGTGATAAAATTATGATTTTTAACATGTGTTTAATGAATAAAATACCATACCTGAGAGAAAAACACTTCTAGAAAGAATTTCACCTAAAAATGCATTTGACACACAAAGTAATATGGTGCAAATTTAACAGAGTTTTTAGTTGGTTGGTTAACATTTGTATCACTTTCATCCCTTTGCAGTTCTATAAGGAAGATATCTAAGGTGTAAGGCTTGATCCAATTTTTAAACTATTATATGAATAACTGGGATAAATGAAAGATCATTTAAAGAAAGAAACCAATACACTAAGGGAATATCCACACCACTTACTTAATTGGAATGGCATAATGATACAGTCATATTTTAATTTGGTGGGACGGTGTTGACATGTAACTACTAATCCACTTAATTGGTTGATTTTTAACTCATCAATAAGTATAATTAATTATTATCCCTTCATTCAACAAATAATTATTTAGCATCTATATACAGGTATGTGTGCTGGAGACTGAGAATACAGTAACAAACAAGATAAATATGATTCCCACCCTCATGGACTTGGAAAGACAGGTCAAAAAAGAAATTTAAATGAAATATAACCGGTGTTCTCAAGCTATTAAAATGAATGGCTTGAAAGCACATAGCAAGGAACCTAATCATGTCACTGAAAATATAAACCAGGCACCCGACAGCCCTCTCTGTAACCAACCCCTTTCCTCAGGGTTGAAAATTCGAGAGTAAGTGCAGAATCCCAGTGATGTTGGTGGCTAGGAAAAGGGCTGTCCCAGCTGGACACATGATCCCTCTGCAGAGCACTGTCTCCATTAGCAATGCAGTTCATGCTGGCTTTGTTTTCCTGGAAAATGCGTAAGCTTTGTATCCCAAAGAATGCTGGGTGGGGCACTTGCCAGACTTATGAAGGTGGAGTGACCCTGGGTAGCTCTTTAGACAGGTGACAGGGTCGAAGATAAGCCTGCTCCTAACCTGAATAAGATATTAATAAGTATTGCAGCACCAAGTAATTCCAGAGAGACTATTAAAATGAATCTGGAACACCTCGATTATCTCCAAGCATTTGGGTTAGATGACTGGGGGAGGACCAAATAACTAAATTGGAAAATTCCAACTGTAAGCAAAATGTGTGCTGATCTTGTGAGCCAGATTTTCATTAGATTTGAGAATAACTGGTGTGTTGTTGTTTGTTTGTTTTTTCAGAATGTCCTCATTGTTGAGGTAAGCTGACTTTATACCCATATTTGGAAGTTGAAAGGATGAACGGTGAGTTTTAAAATGTAGAGTTTGTTATCAAGTTGCCCAAGGACTTACTGAGTTCCCCTGTGTGCATGGCTCTCCAAATTTATTGAGTAGGAGCCAACTAGAATCAGGGACTTGAAATAACGCATTTAAAAGGTTTATATATTTAATGCCTCACATGTCTAATTGGTCATTATACCCATTTGTGAATCAGACATTTGTACAGAAGAGAAAACTAACCCACAAAGCCAAATTTACTTCATACTTAAGCCAAGGTTAGGACCCACTTCACTCTTACCTCAGTGTTCTTGCTAATGACTTTTAGTAATTCTACCTTTGCATTGAATCATAAATATAATCAATTTTAAAATGGTAGTCCAAAGGAAAGCTATGAATTAATTTAATTGGTTCTGTTTAAAAAAGGAGGAAGAGAGGGAGCAAGAAAAGAAAGAGTGGAGGGGAGAGAGAGAGAGAGAGAAAGTAAGAGATAAAGGGAAGGAAGAAAAGAAAAAAGAGAGAAAACACAGGCCCTGGGGCAGCAGTGGACTGCAAATGTTCCTGTTTCCTTCAAGAGCACACCTGTCTTATCAGCTGGCAGAAATTCGCGGGGGGAGGGGGTGGGGGGCTGTCTTCAAGCTTTTGTTACACAATTGCCTGTTTGTGCCATATGTATCTGCAGTTCTGGCTCAGACATAACCCATAAAGTAGACCCTCTAGCCAAATGAATTGCCCAACTCTGGCTAAATTCAGACCTCTTGTTTTAATAATCAGTTCCTGACAGCTGATTTCTGTCCTGAGGACAATAAATTGCTGCTGCCCATTCTACTCTAATTGAGCAGCAGCTCATCAGCAGAGATGAGCCTCAGCTCACTGCAGGCTCACACCCTCAGAATTCAAGGGCCGTCACCAGCTGCCGTCCAGACACATCTCACTTCCCAGCCATGGAGTCCCCTATTGAGTGGGGAGGGCAAGGGGGAGGTGTTTATCCATTCAGTGTATTCAGATGTACATCCCTGGTCCATGAAAATTCATGCGTCCTGTATTGTGTCACATAACCTCAGCTCCAAATCGCAGTCCTTGAAAGTGTGTGAGTGAGTCCAAATGTACTCAGGGAGAGCCCCACATGCTCTCCAAAGGCTGAATTTAGCCTTTCAACCCAGCTCAGAGTTTGAGGAAATACTCACCAATGTATTTCCCCAACCCAGCTTCCAGAAAGGAGCAACAGTCCAAAAAAATAGAACCAATTCTGCCTCCTACTTTGACTCCAATTTGATCGCAATTCTAATAGGGATGCATTATTAATAAGGAATATAATTATCTGCCTGAATGAAAAATCTACTACGCTGCCCAAGTGCATTCGGTTGCATTTGTTCTCTTTTCAAAGGATGTTGTTGGAACAGGGACCATGAAAGCGCTGCTCGGCAGCACAGGAAAATCACAAGCCCAACATGATTCAGGTGGCCAGGTGAGGAGGACGCACATCATTGTTTCTGTCTTTCCAAACGAGCCCAAGAGGGATGCTGTTTTCAGAGAGTGCAGTCTGTTCCAAACCAGTGACCTTCTGCCCTGGGGTGCTACAGTTTGGCCACACTATACACACAGCCCATTGAACTGCGGGCCTGAGAGAGAGGAAAGGGAAGAGCACATGCTTTGCTGTGGCTGAGCCCTCTTGACTGTGCCTCGAGCTTTTTCCAGGAGCAGCTGGCTGAGCCCCAGGGCCAGGGCCCCCTCCCTTCCTTTATTGAGAGTCACTGAGCTGGTGCCGCAGTAGCAGAAGCATGAGTTGGAGGGCTGGGATGATGCCCCATGTGTTCAAGGGGAAAAAATACATATTTTAAATACTACATATTTTAATCATATTTCATTCTATTTGCAATTCACAGAGATTTTATTTGGATCACTGAAGCTTTTTTTTTTTAATGATAGTTTGTTGGTGCAGAGGACACCTAGAAGTCACGGCTTTAGACCTGACTAGGTGTTCTTGGGTTTTGTTTGTTAATGGGTGGCCTCGTGGTGGTAGTTTGTGTGTAAGAAATTCCTATTTGTCGGTGTTCTGTCTGAAGTGGAAGCTGCATAGGTTTGAAAGACCCACAAATTCCCAGCCTTGCTAGCGAAACTAGAACTCTTTACAACAAGGGGCTGACATTTCCTGCCTTGCTCCGCTCACAGGAACTCAGTTGTGTGCATGGATATTTTCATATCTAGGTTTTCCATAGAACCTTATCTCCAAGAGCCCAGAGAATCAGTTTCAGGTGGAGGAGGGAGACTCGACCTCTCTGGACTGACACAGAGGCACAGGATTCCTGCCGTGGCTGCCATCCCCACATGGGACATGGAGAGGCACGGGTAGAGGTTCAGAGGCATTCTCATACCAGGCAATGCACGGTGCAGACGTGCAGCGAGCCTGAATTTTAGCACACGAAGGGGAAATCCAAGTCATCTCCCCACCACTCCGAACAAAAGTTCAGTAACACAAAAATTAAGTGAACAGCACAGGGAATATAGTCAATAACATTGTAACTAGAGCTATTGTGCTGACCATTTTGCAATGGATAAAAACATCAACCCACGCCTGGCCGCAGTGGCTCAGTGGTTGAGTGTCTACCTATGAACCAGGAGGTCGCGGTTCAATTCCCAGTCAAGGGCACATGCCTAGGTTCTGGGCTCGATCCCCATTGTGGGGTCCGCAGGCGGCAGCCAATCAATGATTCTCTCTCATCACTGATGTTTCTATCTCTCCCTCCCTCTCCCTTCCTCTCTGAAATCAATTTAAAAAATATATTTTTAAAAAACATTAAACCACTATTTTGTACACCTCAAACTAAGGTCATATTGTATGTCATCTGTAATTCAATAAAAAATAAAATATAACTTCACAGAAACAAAACAATAACAGAGAATTAGCAGATCAAATGTCTATAGATACTATCTTCACACTTGCCTTCAGACGTGTGTTCTGGAGGACTTTTCTCATCTAGGGCAGGAGGATAAACAAGCAGCTTGATTATTTATTATTCTAACACTGGAGGTGATTTTTTTTTTCACTTGCATAGGCAGACTTCAGCTTGATTTTTATAACTTACATTTGCTCTGAAGCCTCTGGGATAATTTGGCCACGGTTCTCATTAGCAAGCTGAACAAACACTGCAGCAAGGGAAGCATGCTATGGATGGGTAATGTGCCAGTGCGATTTAGCCAGTGACTCTTTATTCGAAAACACAAGTTTCATTCCTATGTGGGATGTATTAAATCTAGACAATGTCAGTTCTAGGCAGATAGACCCAATAGTGTGTTCCTGTCCAGTTATTGGTTTGGGGAATATAATCTGGATGTAGTTAAAGTTGGACACGGTTAGTAAACAGAAATCTTCCAAGGAAATAATGTAAGACACTGTTCAGAAAAAATTTTTTAACTGAAAGACATTCACTTCAGACATTCTGTTAATTTTTGTGTCACTTATAGCAGCAACATTAATAAAGTAATAACAGCAAACACTAGTAAGTGGCTATGATGTTCCCAACTCTGTTCTAAGAGCTATATACACAGATTAACACATTTAATCCTCTAAGGTAGATGCTAAAGTTATGCCCACATTACAGACGAGGAAATTGAACATAACAAGGTTAAAGAGCTGGCCAAGGTCACATAATTGTAACTGTAGAGCCAGTATTGAACCCAGGCAGTCTGGTTTTAATCACTGCTCTTACGCTTGCAATATACCTGTAACATCTGCAATTGCAAACCTAAGAGTAGGACTTGCACCCATTTACCCAGCTAGAGATAGGTCACTCTGGCTCCCATCCTATTCAACCAAGTCTCCCTCTTATTTCATGACTCTCTGAAGGTTTGGCTTTCTCAACTGGCTTTTCCCAGTCTGAGTTGCCATGCCTGTTCTAGGGTTTGCATTGCTCACTGTCAAATCACTATTATTGCTACAGTCAGGGTTTCCTAACATTCTTTTAGCTAGCTCAGAATCCCTGTTTCTTCTTTCTGGATTTCTGAATCTTTGTACTTTTTGTTTCTTTCTCCTAATCTACTCTTTCCTCTGTCCAATGACATCTTTTCTTCTGCTCGTCCGTCTCCTCTGATTATTTTTCTCAAGAACCTACAGTTTGGACGGTCAAATAGTGAAACATAATGTACTAGTAGTCCCCCAGAAAATAAGTTCCTTCCCTCTAGCATGTTCTGTGAGCAGGAACCAGTTGGTTTCTCCATGTGGAAGTATCTTTTTGGTCACAGGAATCAAAGTGGTGGTGGGCAGTACCATGGAGGTAACTTCCTCAGGGCTCTAAGTCCATTGGCTGCATCTAGGTATAGTTTCATAAAAGCAGGCAAGTGTATCGCTCACCTGCAATACTGTGACAAACATACACAGGCTCCAAAACATTGGAAGGAGCTTGAAAAATCATTGGACCATAAGCACATTTATTCTGTCTCGAGGCCTCCAGTATAGGAGAGGTATGGTCTTTTCCTTAAGGATGCTTTTCAATAAAAATTACCTTCCTTTCAAGAAATTCTTCTTTTGCTTAACCTGAGTACCTTCTACTGCATTTAAATCCATTTACTCTCCTTCTGCCCTTAATAGAGATGAAGAGCTAATCGTTGTCATCTGCGTTGTGAACTCCAAGCATTCTCTTCCTCAAGCTGAACAATCCCACTTCCTTCATATTGTCTCCCAGGTTTTGCTTCCCAGCTCTGTATCCTGCCGGGGACACTGAGTAGTGTGAGGATCACCTCTTAGTTGCAACAGCCTGCACACCTACTCACGTACTGCAGTATCGTAACACCTCCTGTGTGAACTGCACTTTGTGCTTTTCAGAGTGTTTGCGTTGGCATTATGCCATTAGATACTGCTTTGGAACAACACGCCTACATTACTAAGTCATGCATACTTCTCACTATCTACTGGGCTGCCTGAGCCCTTTCTCGGATCCGGATACCAGGAGTACAGTCACTCTTTATTGCATGTTGGCTTCTTTGTCTTGTCTTCCTGAGTTCTCACTTGGGCCCAGGTCCCTGCTGGGCTCATCCTATGCATTGCTTATCACGTTTTTCACTTACTTCTGCCTAAATGAAAAGTCCTCACCATTGAAGTGTCAACACTAACATATGGTGGCTTTATGCTTGTTATCTAAATTTTGATTTTTTTTTTCTTCTCTCTCTCTGCTCAGATGCTGGATTTGAGATTCTAAACTTATTTGTGGTGGGTTATGCTTTAGATTACAATGAATGCCTCAGAGATCTGAATGTACGTGTTGCATGCATATCCCCACCCCCATTTCACAAGGACTTAACAGTTTTAACAATTTAACTAATTATTAAAATAATAATAATGGTGGCTGCCATATATTGAGTAACTTCTATGTCAGGAATATTCTGGGCACTTTGCATGCATAATCTCAATTCACTCCCCCCACTACCCTGCAAGGGAGGAAGTAGGGTGATAGAAGCAATTATGATTATCTCTTTTTAATTTCTATTTTTATTTTTTATGAGCTCTATTTTATACTAAAGAAATAAGGAAGCCAAAAGCAGAACTATGGCTCGGTATTGATTTTTTTCCAAGTCATTGACTATGCCTACTTACCCACAGCAATGCTATATAATAAAAGCCTAATATGCTAAGTGTCTGACTATTCGTTTGACCTTTCAACCAGTCACTATGATGTGCACTGACCACCAGAGGGCAGACGCTCCAACTGGTAAGTTAGCTTGCTGCTGGGGTCTAGTTAGTCAGGACTGGGTGAGACGGGCTGGCCACTCCCTGGAGCCCTCTCGTGGTCCCTCCCCATCCCTGATCATGCACCGGTAAGGTTCTTCGGCCTGGCCTGCACCTTCTCGCAATCCAGGACCCCTTGGGGGATGTCAGAGAGCCAGTTTCAGCCCAATCCCTACAGGCCAGGCCAAGGGACCCCACTGGTGCACAAATCCTTGCACTGGACCCCTAATGGTAAGTATTCTATAACCTATTTTGTGTCAGAGCTTGAAATCTAGCAGGTACCAATTCGAGTGGCATGCAGGTAGCTTATAGCTATTCCCAATTTGGGGGCAGTAGTTTTATTGGTGGCAGAACAGCACCAGGGGTTACACTGGTGGGATCCCACTAGACCTGGGTTCAGCAATATCGGTACTTGAGTTGTGGCTAAGAAAGAATTTAGAGCCAAGACTCAAACTATAAGAGAACATTTATTTGGAAAATCACAGAGGTATAAGAAGTAATGTGTAGGAGAAATGGGCTTAGGAAACAAATTAGGTAAAAGAAAGGCCCTTGAAGCTTAGAAGTAAGGAAAGTCAAGGTGACACACTTCCGGGTTTGGGGAAGTGGAGGGAAAACTGTGGTGTGCTCCCATGAAGGAGAGTGTGATCGGTTTTCTGTCCTAAGGGTTTTTAAAGGTGGAGATTTTAGGGGAAGTCCCAGGGGAAGATCTCAATAGACTATTCACAGATATTCACAGCAGCTTTTCAGATGTGTCTTTCCGTGTTGAGGTCTCCACTGATTGATTGGCTGGCACAGGGGGTCATTAGTCAAGGCAGCTGGCCCTGAGGTGAGCTTGTCTGGTTTTGTTGCTTTTCTGGGCCTGGAGCTGAAGTACAACTGAGGCCTAGATGTTATCTCTAGGGAGTAAAGGTCAGGACTATTCACAGATATTCACAGCAGCTTTTCAGATGTGTCTTTCCGTGTTGAGGTCTCCACTGATTGATTGGCTGGCACAGGGGGTCATTAGTCAAGGCAGCTGGCCCTGAGGTGAGCTTGTCTGGTTTTGTTCCTTTTCTGGGCCTGGAGCTGAAGTACAACTGAGGCCTAGATGTTATCTCTAGGACGTAAAGGTCAAGGGTCCGAACCAGGAACAGCAATCTGCTAGGAGAGGAAAGGTCACCCTGGGGACAAGGTCCTATGCTACAGTTGTCCTTTGCTAGGCACCCAGGACTTTGCATCCTGGTGACCTTCTGGACCATAGTTTTCACATATAGACATCGACCCCTGGCTGTGTGACCCTGACCATTACTGAATGATCTAGACATATTACCCAAAACAGACCAATCCTCTCTCTCTCTCTGTCCACCCCCCTCCTCTTTCTCAATAGAAACTTAAACCAAAATCACAGAGACCAAGGAGTTTGAGGCTTAACCAGTGGATTGAGGTCTGGAGCTACCCCTGTTCCTGTCTTTCATTTCCTTCATTGTTCAGCACTTTCTTTGCTTCTGTGAGCTACTCAGTATCTTACCAATAAATCTCCCTATTTTGCTTATATTAGCCTGACTCCATTTCTGTTGCTTGCAACCAAAATATTCCTGACACATTTCTTACTATCCAAAGGGTCAAATAAGAGTACATATTATTTTTATTATGGCTGTTTCTCCATTCACCCTAGGGGCTGTAATTTTACCAGTAGGAGACTTCTATCTCCATCACAGCTAACCATACTGCTCCCTAAGCATTTCTGGTTGTTACAGACTTAGGGAGCCAAATTTGGAAAAAGGCTCAAAACTAAATCAATAACGCATTTTTGTCAAGCATTCGAATGGATTTCTTTAGATGTTACACACACACACACACACACACACACACACACACAAACCACAAATGTCCTATATAA